GGTGTCTGGGACACCTTGTACCTTACCAGATTTGATCTGTGACCCACAGATTTTTTCTTTAGCAACAACAAGAAGACATCAGTGGCTCTTCTCTTCTAGAGGATCTCAAAGCCTCTTGAGGACCTCATTACAGCTTTTGAAAGAACAGTCTCTCCACATCTTCAGTTCAGAGGTTAAACCAGATGTAAAAATGGCCATGAAAGACTATGGGGAAGTTCAATCACTATGGATTTTAATTTTCATTTAATAATTATAAAATGAATTTTAATATGAGGAGAAGGAAACAGCAGATCTGCTCCAGCAAAGCTGTGAAGCACACATTTAAGGTCTGTAATAGACTGTGGGTGGAAAGAAATACCAGGAAGTTCCAGAATGGTTTTGTTGAGAATCTTAGTAATATTGTACTTCACTTCACACATCACCTTTGTACCAAACCTGGAGCATGATGATTGCAGAGGGAGGTGTTATCCTGGACTGCTGTATTAGCCCAGACCGAGAGGTGTTCCAAGACTGGAATAATAAATGTGGTACAGTAGGACAGATGAACTTTCCTTGGGCTGATTGAAAATTGCTCAATACACGTTATACTTCAGATACTCATTAGCAGAACTCTAGGGCATCCTTAAGACTGCAACACAGATGGATTTACAAGAAATATTAAAGGGCAGTAGCACGGGCCAGTGACCTGCTTTGAAAGGGGAGTGGCTGACCTGTGACAGCATCCAGTCATGAACTGAAATGCTAGGGATTTTGGAAGTCAGGATTGCAGTGCATTGGTAAAGCTGTGTGTGAGTCTTCAAGACTGATGGCAGTAATTAAGGGTATTTATTGTCCAGCACTGGATTGGAGTGAAAGACCAGTTCTGCAATCCCTGTTTTAATCCAACCCTCTGAAAGCCGAGTTCAAACCAAAGCAAAACAGAAAATTCTATTTTTAAAGAGAAGGAGGGTGAGAGAGAAGACCCTAATCAAAATTTTCTGATAACTCAAAAATCCATTGGGAAGAGTCATGCAGAGAGCTGGAACTGAGCCTTTCTTCTTACCCAGTGCTGAATGACTGCAGCATGCTTAAGCATTGCCACAGCTCTCTCAAAGCCACCCTCTTTAACATTGACCTAATCCTTAATCCTCACCCCTGGTGTCCTCAGTGTGTCTCACCCATGAACACAGCCCCTTCGAGCTGTGTTCCCTCCTGTTCTCTCCAGCCAGTCTTTCTAGTTTCACAGCCTCTTCCAGGCTGCAGGCTTCTTTTTTTTTTCTTTGTGTCATCCAGGAAACACACCCACCTCTCTTGCCCCAGCCTCATATTGTGCCTCACTCAGAGATTCTGTAGTTTGTGTGAAGGAATTTCAAGCAATGCAAACTACAGCAAATTTAAAAAAAAATCATAGAAATTAGAGATGGGAAAGTCTTTCTAGCTCATCCAATCCATCATCTCATTCCTGCATAGCCCAGTTCCTGCAAGATTCTTGCCTGCAATACATTTTCCAGTGCATTATCCAGTCTGGCATCCTTTACTTCCCATGAGAAAGTGTTCCACAGAGGATTGCTTTTCAGTGTTTGGAAGAGGTTTCTGAAGTTTTCTTTCCATTCTGCCTGACCTAATTTCTTTACGTTCTGCCTGTGGTAGCACGCTAGCCAAATGTTCTCCTTCCTTCATGCTTACCTTATTCAGGTGATGGCAAATAATTCTTGTTCAGTCAAGCTGTTTAGCCACAATGCTTAATACTGAGTCGTAAAGCTCAACAATTATAGTCCTTGGGTACCTGGGAAACACTAATGTTGAGGTTAGCATGTTAATGGGTGCACAGAACATAGAAGACAGTGCTAGTAGGGTTGCCTCTTTGTTATAACAGTCATTTGACACGTTCCATCACAAGGTCTGGCTTTGGTTGCTTTTGTCTTTGCCAAACTTGGAGCCAACATCTTCTAGCTCATGTCTGCTTCAGTAGTTTTATTGGGTTCTTTTTGGTTTTGTTTTTAATTTCAATCAAAACCATTTAGCTATTTCTGAGAACAAGGCTGAAAGGGAATATTCTGTTTTATATACATTTAAAAAAATGTAATTACTTTTTCTTTAAAAAAAATCCAACAAACCACCTTTTGAATAATGTCTTGCTTTAAAATAAACCACATTTTTTTTCTGTCAGGAACACATTTTTTGTCATCTCTGACCAAGTCCCACCCAATGTTGGCTAAATGATGAACTTTTGAGTTATTGCAGCTTGAGCCTGCTCAGAAAAAATAATGGGGGCTAGAAGGACAGGCTTTTATCTTTTTTTTTTTTTTACTGTGGTCCTGATGGAAATAACAGCACATGATTTAAGACCCAGATTACAATGTACTTGCCCAAAGGCCTCTGACTGTGGCTGCAGGGTCACCTTGTTCCAGCCTCCCCTGGCCCGGGTTGCTGTCACTGCTGATGGACCCCTCCTGCCCATGGCCAGGGTCACCCTCGGGAGCTGACGTCCTTGCTCCATGCATGGAACTGGGCTTGCCCAGGCATGCGGAAACCTGGCTGTGAGGAAACAGGGAGGTACAGAGACAGGAGGAGGAGAGAGAAAAGAAAAAAACTCAAACCACAACTGAAAAAAAGCCAACCAAAGAAATACAGCAGAAAAGAGGCACACACCCATTTTCTCTGCTAGCTGTCTCCAAAATATTTTGTGTTTGTGTATTTACCAACCTGGGCACTCCTTTCCCTCAGGACATGTAGGGAAGCCTGGGTGCCCTGGAACTCCCTGGCTACAACACACACGTGCTACATCGATCCCACACCCAGGGCAGTGACACCATGTGCTCTCGGCATTGCCTACTCCCACTGGGCATCCAAGGCATGTGGCCAGGGCCCCAGACTTGTGTCACTGCTGTTCTGTCCTGACCTGTCTCCTCCCAGGGGCACAGGCAGCTTCGGCATCCTGCCCACCACAGCGTGGAAGGGCATGGGATTCATGAGCACTGGAGATGGCACTCGACAGCAGGACTGTCTGTGAAGCCACAGCTCCAAAATGCCATGAAGGAATTGAAAGGAATCCAAAATCCTCATTAAATCTAAGAAAAAGATGTCCTGAAGAATCATCAGGACATCTAGAAATATAAAAGGTGCAATTGTAATATCTAGCACCATGGTTTTCAAAGCACCCACTGTAACAAAACCCCTCTGCTCAGCACTGTAAGGAAAAGTGGTTTCATTATTCCCTTTAGACAGCATATTAGACCTTGACTCCTCTGATCTGTGTTTGCTACCATCTCTGCCACATCAGTGAAGCTTGTGTGCCCCATCAGAAACTCGCTTGTGCCTTCTAGCCACTCTGCTTGCTGCATCTCTTGCCTTGCTGTCTCTTTATTCATTAATCCTTCCCCTCCCAGTTTTTTCTCCCCTCTTATTTTTCGCTTCCCAAAGCAAGGAGTTTTTAATAGCTAAAGAACGAAAACACCTCCCACGTCTCGCCTCAAAAAAGCTAACTCTCTGTCTTACTCACTCTTTTAGATTTCCAAACCTCTCCTGCTAGCTTTGGGGCTTCCTTTGAGGCACTGGTTCCTCAAATACTAGCACGTGAGTATAACTTTAGTAAACCATGTAGTTCCAATGGCCTTGAGAGGGTGATCCATGTGAATAAATAAATCAGCTGTGGAATGGAGACCCTGGCCTTTAGCAGAGATGGAAAGTTTTCTGTTCTATATTGTGATTTGATCAGAAAAAAGTTATTACAAGGGACTTCAATCCAGGATGGAGTAGTAACTCCCTTGAAGAAAATTTTAACAGTAGGCTTGAAGTTCTTCAGGGTGCTTAGGTCATACTGATGCAGATGGATTGACTAGATAATCTTTGGAGACTTCCTCTAACTCTGCTTATTCTGATTCCCCATGGTGAAATGGAGGAAAAGGTAAATTGAAGTAAAGAACAATTGCTTGCCTTTCTCATTTCCATGTGTGAAACTAAAGTGCAGTGTGGTTCAACTGTGTTGTTGTATTTTTTTTTTTGCTTTAAAACATACAAAACATTTATTTGACTGCAAGATCACCTGCACATGTGATGTACTGCTTGCACAGATTAATTTTAGATCCTTGAATTTTGTCATTATAAAAACAGAATGTCTCTCACTGTCTTTGCGCTGATTCCAACATCAACAAGGATCAGCTGTGCTGTAGATTTGTATCTGTGGGAATGACTACAAACACCCCACTATATAGTGTATGGAAACAAGAACTATTTTTGAAGTATCAGTCCAGCTACGGCAATGCGGAGTTCAGCACAGTTTACTCCATTTCTGGGCTGAGGTTTGTACCCTGCATTGTGCTCCATTTTGCTGGAGTGAAATTCCTAGCAAGACCCGATTAAAACAAGCACTGAGTGTTTACTCCCCATCACTGCCACTGCTTTGACTGCAGTGTAAACGCACCACTAATGACTTGGCCGATGGGAGGGGAAAATTATGTGTCAGAGCCAAGTACAGAACCAGGAATTTGGGCCATCAGCCAGCTGGTTAAATCACACTGAGTGCCTGTAATGAAATGCATTGATTTGTGACTCTTACAATAACGTTTTTAGGAAATCATTTCAGTGGCTATTTATTTGTGTGTTGGAGCAACCTGATGAGGTTGGAAAACTAAAGGAGACACTGTGCTTATAGGCCAAGAGCAAAATTTAAAAATTAGGTTAATTAACCATTGGAATAACTTTTCTAAGGATGTGATGGGTTCTCCATCATATTCTGATGCACAGTCAATACCACTTAGTTGTATAAAATACATGCTGTAGCTCCAGTAGGAGTTCTGTGTACCACTAGAAGTGATTATCCAAAGTTCTGTGGGTTCTGTCACCCCTGAGATAAGACAATGTTGTTATAATGGTTCCTCTTGATGATAAAAATTCTGTGAGCCTGTGACAGTCATTGAGTCTGGGTGTTAGTGATTCTGTATAGTAACAGACTGAGATCCCATAAGTGGTAGATTTTAACTAGAAACAATTTTCACAAACAGGACTACCAAATTACAAAGATGCATTCTGCAGAAGTGGACACCCTGCCAATCCTGCGGCTGATATAAGGTGCAGTGATGATTTAGCGAGCTCAGAAGGAATTAAACCATCAATAAGATGACAGACTTGGTAAATTTCAAAGCATCTGGTCAGATCTTATGGCATTTCTTGGTTGCTACCTGTTCAATCAGAGAGAAAAAAACAGTGGGGTAGTCCATAATCACCTTGTGGTATTTTCACTGGATGCCTCAGAAGAGCAGATGAGGATAGTGAGCAGTGGATAAGGTAAGTGGTTATCTGCTTGGGGGTTTGTATGGACCCTTTTCAGGACTGGTTCCTCTTTAATGTTCTTACAGATCTATGTAAAATTATGTGGGCTTTCTTGTCTGCTTACAGTTTATGATTAGCTAAATTACGTACCTTTTTTTTCTGTGTGCTCAGATGAACACATCCTAGAGATGCAAGAGTTTAAGTACTCTGTGAAAAGCAACCCCCTAGCCTTATATATAATGTATAGTCTTATAATTCTTATTCAGAAATTGTAACACCTGGAATTTCTACTGAGACCTCAAAGTCTGTGTTGCTGCATCTGATTTTTTTTCTTTTCATATCTGCTTTCTGTGTGGTTTTTGAATCGTTGATAACCATGAAGATTAGGAAAAAAAATTCAGCCAAGTAAGTCTTTTTTTAAGAAAAAAAAAAGTAGAAGAAAAATAGAAAGTAGTTAGGTCCGAACTCATGGACTTGTTTGTTCATCTTTAAGATGGATTTACTTATTCCAATTCAATCTTTATTTCTGTTCTGCCACAGTCTTGATGTCTAACAATGTAAGCTGTTCATATTTAAAAATGGAATTCACCTTTAAATGTGCTTAGACTAGAAAAAATATGCCTGTTGAGGTCATTTTTAGAGCAAGAGTTAATGCATCATGCAAACAGCTAAATAAAGGTTACAATCTGAGTGGAATTATTCAGAGCTCAGGGAGAAATCTGGCATTTGCAGTCTGTCACTGGGTTTGAGAAGTCTGGCTCTCTCCAGTCACTGTCACTCGGGAGACATCCTGCTTTCTATGTGGTAGTGAGGGAGGGGACTGCAGTACTGAATGATCTTCCTGTAGAAACAGCAAAAACAGGAGCAGTGGGAAGTGTCATGTGTGAGGAATGTGTGGAATGAGGGGTGAGTATTAGCCCGTCTTTGTCCAGTTTTCACAGAGAGACTTTATGGGTGTAACTAGTCACTCTTCCTCCTCTCTTTTCCTCTTCAGGTCAGCTGAAGAGCCAATGTCAGGACAGCATATGATCCCTGATATCCCTGGAGGATTGCTGCATGGGGGGCTATGAAGAGCTGTGTGCCTCTTGAAAACTGCCAGTTAAGTATTGCAACTTTTGGGCCTTATCTGGTAAGGTCTTCTTGCCCTTCTTTTCCACCAACATCCCTGGGAGATGAGTGTATCGCTTTGGGACAGGATACACCCAAAGCCAGGGTGTAGATAGTGATAGAGCCAGGATAAAAATGCATCACTTGTAAGTGCCTGGGCTTTTTTAGAGTTGGCAATCGCCACAGAGGTGCTGTGCTAAGCTTATGCTCTGCATTTTGTTTCCTTATTTTGTTTCTATAAGCCGAGGGCTTGGCTGATTGCACAGGAAGTCAACTGCTATGGGCATTCACTTCAATGGGCGAATTTTAAACAAGTCACCAGGGACTGGCTGCTGCTGAGTTCAAAGAGAAAGAGACATCCAAAAACTCTAGCCAAGCCAAGTTATGGTGGAAAATATCAGATACAAAGATGAGAAAACTGTAACACACACAGTAGGGTGAGAGACAGATACATCTTGATTTTCTTTCCACAAGTGGTCAGATTAGAGTGAGGTTTGAATAGACATTTTAAAAAGAATCAACCAAAATGCAGACCAAACCCAAACAAACCCCCCATAATTTTGCTAAGGGAAGTTTGCTAAAGGAAGATTGTTGAACATTAGGAAATATGTTCTGGTGTTGGTGTTCTATGAGCTGTGTGCAATGGTCTGGGGAAAGTTAATATGGTACTTGACAAAATATTGGGAAAAGTATTAGAAAGAATAGTTCCATGCAGGGCAGAAGGTGGAGCAAATGCCTGTTAAGCTCTTGCATTCATTCATCTTGCTTTGCTTTCCTCAGTGATTTCAAGTGTTCCCAGGCTCAGATAACTCCAAGAGAAGGACCTACCTCCCATATCACAGTCAAGGTAAAGAGTTTGTGTTTATAAAAATGTAAAAAAAAAAGGTGGGGGGGAAATTTCAAGGGAAGGAATAGAAGTCTAAACTTTGGTGTTGCTTCCCCCCGTTACACACACGAGCAGTAGAGACTCACAAAAAGAAGACCAGAGAAAGACTGCCATCTTCTGGAAGGATAAATATCTGCCATTATTCAGAATACTAAATCTGCTATATGCATATTTTGAAACCATAGTATATTTCTGATAAATTTATTTACCTGCCTGAATTCTTATCCATATAAAACTAACTCAGTCTCATTTCATCAATATATATGACATGATCCCATGATCCCAGCTTTAGAAACTGACATAGACTCTTGGGTTTTAATGATATTCTCATCAATCTTAAAATTACAAAGGTGTTAACATTAAGGATTATCAGTGGAGGGATGGACTTTATTTATTCTTGAGCCTGTAAACCAGGCTTTTTTTTTACTAAGCATTTGGAAGTCAAACTTAGGGTGCCCAGATGCAGACTGAACAATTAAAGAAAAAAAATGCACTCTCCTTTTAAATAGCATCAGCTGTTATCCTACCTACTTCAATAAACTAAGTACATCTGTTTCAACAGAACCTTTTATTAATCAAAAACCTGCAGGCAGTCCACGGAGCACAGAGACATTTAGCATTGCTTTCAGTTAGTCCGTCTTAAAAATGATTATCTGAATTAGAGGAGTTTATGCAGTGACTGGGATTACACTAACCACAGAGCCACTGCCTGCTCTGCTCAGGGCAGGAAGGGTCAGGAGCCTGGGATAGCACAGCCCACATACTGGACCATGAACATGTGGGCTCTGTCTGCTGTTTATGCTGTATGGGGCTGTCACAGATTGTGCTGTCACCCAGAACTATTCCTACACTTACCTCCAGCCTCTGAGCTCTGGTGTTGGAAGTGGGGCGATGAGAGCAGATGGACCACTGGTTTCCTCTGTCCCAGCAGAGCACCATGGCAGGCATGCAGGGAATCTGCCTTGCTCCCTCCCAGTGATGGTGGTAGTCTCACCCACTTAGCACTGGGCAAAGCCTTTGTGGGGAAGACAGGATGTGTACCTTTGGGATGCTCCTCTCCCTTGCAGTTTGATTCAATGCAGCTCTGCTCCATGCCCTCTAGTGACAGTGCATTCTCATGAGAGGTGATGTCATTTTTACTTCTCACAGTTTTGATACCAAACAAGAGGTATCAACACCTTCAGATACTGTGGGAGCCTTTAAACTTTCAGGACAAGAGCTCAGAGGGGACTTTGGATGAGTGTGAATCTCTGTCTCTCCTTATTAGGTTCCCAAATTCATCCAATGTTAACTTGTTGGGAGCTAGGATTCCCAGTGAACTTCACATTTTGGTAAAACTGCGACTACACGGGACACAGACAGTCTACCTCATTCTCCCATCCTTTGAGTACTGGACTTGTCACTGTTTCACAACACCGTCGTGATGGTGAAGTCATGGTGCCAGTCTGCCACTCAGCAGCTCTTCTGCTAAGGGGCTCCTTTTGGCACCAGAATTTCCAGTGCCTATGGGGAGAGCTGCATTGGCATCTCTTCAGTGACTGAAATCCTCAGTCCTCAGAGCAGATGGAATTGCATAAACTTCCTTCTCCTCATTTTTATATTCTCCCCTTTCTGCAACTGCCAGGTCTGGCCAGAAAGATATCCCAGGGCTGGGAGGCTTGTAGACTTTGCCATTCTTCTGAGACAGGAGTGACCTGATGACAAGGCTGCTGTGGGTTTCCAAACCAAGGTCACTTATTCCCTGAAGCCAAAGATCTGCCAGCTCACTCCATACAAGCTCCCAAACAGCCACCGCATGGGGACTATTTCTGTGTTTTAAAGAAACTTTCTACTCAGTCAGTGCGGGTCACTGTTCTCCACTTAATCCCAACCCGCAGCATCAATCGCCTCCCATATAATCTCCCAGAACAGCTGTGCTGTGATTGCATTGTGGATTACAAAATGACCATTTTCCACAAAACAGCTGCTGATCAGAGGGATAGCATTTAATAATCACTGAGGAGGCAAGGGAGGAGGGGACAAGACAAAAGAGAAAGGGGTTTTGCAGCAATTGGGTTTCTTGGAGGATGTAGAGATGAGCAAAACAGCAGACAAGGCGTGAGTCCCATTTCTATACTGCTCATCATCAAATTAACAGGACTTTGAAGACTTGCTGCTAAGGTAAATTCAGCTCTATTTCCTTTTGGGGCTATCTAGATACTAATAGTCAGTTATTGTCAGTGAGTGCTTAGCTTTTGTGGAGGGAAGCTTTTCTGACAATGTTTTCAGGAAGTAGTTCAGATTTGCTTCTCATTCCCTATGTCCTCTGCATTCTTGATCCACTTCCTTCTTCTGACTTATTTGTTTCTTGTATTTTTTTTTCTTTTCCTTAACACTTTTCTTGAAATTATATGGCCTTTCAACTACTGTCACAAATCAACTGGAGAGAACATTTTTTCCACTATTGACGATTTAAATTAGAAAGATAATTTTTGTCAATATTGTGAGTGGATTTTTTTTAAAATAAAAGCATAAACAGCGCAAAACCTCATGACAGAAATTCTTATAATCAAGCATTGATGAAAATATGAAAAACTTTGTGTGCTGAAGGTTTCTATTTTCAGGTGGAAAATCATGGTTTTGAGGAGAACAATTTAATCTATAATTTCCTTTTCAGTCATAAGCCAAATTTTCCACTGAAAAAGCTTTCAGTGAGAAATTTGCCACAAACCTTAGCCAAAAACTGGTCCTAGTAGGTATCTGCTCTGCAAAAATGGTGATATCCAACATGCTTTCAGATCACAGAAGTCATTAGCTATGGAATCACTGAGATGTTACCATCTCCAGGGTGCAGCTTTTCCATTGCTGCAAGAACGAAATGCCCTGGTGAAGAGACAAAAGAAGCCAGAGCATAAAACAACACAAGAAATTTTCAGGAGCTGAGTATTTTCTTGCTTTCAGTGAGGCTGTTCTGGGTCAGGTACTGCTTTCTCAGTGTGATGACATGCTAATGAAGTCCTGCTTTTCAAGAGGAGCTTCAGCACCATCTTTATTGACCGCATTTCCAAGCTTGCTGGTTAGCAGAAAATACGGTTCTAACTGCACCACTTTGAGCTGTGGTGCAGTCACAAACAATGCAAAGCTTGCTCTTGTATCGTTTATTTATAGTGGTGTCCGCAGAATGCTGGGTCTTTCTCACACGTTCGACGTTGGGTGAGTCAGCCAGTGTTAAGTGAAGAGGACCAGCAGCAGGCAATGTCTGTACAAACTGAATCTATTTGTGGACAAATAGATTTTGAGTCATAAATAGGAAAGAGTGGGAGTATCTGGATGAAGCTGTGCCAAACATAGGGAGTGCCACGTGGGAAGAGACATGCGTTGATTACAGGAAAGTTGATGTGTAGGTAGATGATACCTAATCAATCCATGGAGTGATAGGTTGGGGTTCTTAGAAGTCAGTGAAGGGTTTTGCAAGAATCCTAAGGTCTTAAACTTTCCTCTGAGTGGGAAAGTCCACGTGACTCTGGTTCCCAAACTGCATTCTGAATTACTTTTAATGATGAGATGAAACTGGGAAAAATGTTTGTGATAATGGTTGCTCTTATAAAAAATCCCCAACCTTTGGCACTTTGTGTGAGAGCAGAGATGCTGTCATCCCACCACCCTACCAGATTTCTGATGTGCCAGTCAGGGCTCAGGTGGGAGGTGCTGCTCCGGGGTTTGAACTCGAGCTGCCAGGTCTGGATAGCTGGGTGTCTCCTCTGAGCAGGCCACTGCTTTCGTGTGTGTCCTACGACCCTCAGCAATACGGGAACATTTTCCTGCCTTTCCCCACTGTGAAATGACTATACTCTCTACCTCCATAGGGTCAGTAATTAACTGCTTGAAGAAGTGTTTTGGGACACTTGGCAGCAAGATTTCTCATTTAGCTGGACAGAGCAACTTGTGGTGTTTGATGAAGCTGGTTAACAGTTTTTTTCTGTCATCTCTGAGATGGAGTAAATATGATGTTTTTTCATTTTGCTCATGTGCTTAGATACCTCAGATACCTCAATGCACTCAGCGCTGCTATGTTTGCTGGATGACCCTCTCTTACCCAGTACAGATATTCAGCATACTTTGAAATGGTCAAAGCTTACATATTGATCCACTGCCCTGGCTTTCAAGAAATGGTTCTGCCATGATGAGTGAGCTGTTGGGATGTTGTGAGGAGGACAGTCCTCATAGCCCCTCCCCACAGATGCATGCTGGGAAAAGCTGGGATTTGTAAGGCTAGGTGGGACAAGTGGCTGGTGTGACGGTCCCTCCCATTTGTGTGTTGCAGATGGAGCTGCTGAAGCGATTGCCATTGCACCGTACTTTCCTGGCTGTCATCCTGAACCTGCTGGCTCTCACCCTCTCCACCACCGCCTTGCTTGGCAGCTACTGGTGCACCGGGACCCAGAAAGTGCCCAAACCTTTGTGTGGGAAGAGCAAAGCCACCCAGTGCATCGGTGTCCCCATGCCATCTGATGCAGATACGAGCAATGTTTCATCTGAGGATGTGGTGCACTACAGCTGGGAGACTGGAGATGACCGTTTTGCCTTCAGATACTTCCACACAGGGATGTGGCTTTCCTGTGAAGAGAGCATGGAAGGGCCAGGTAGTGTCTTGCTCGGGCAACCACAATTTATTCCCTTGCATTTAATCCACAGGAGTTTGAAACTGAGAGGTGGCAGGCTGACAACACTTGGGAGAAAAGTCTTCTTCATTTTCCTAGATGGCAAAAGCCCTGTGCACTGCTGTGCTTGATATATTTCTGTCCTTCACTGGAATGTTCACAGAGCGGGGAAAAGGAGAATGGTTGTCTCCAGTGTGCCCTTCAGTCTAGAACAAGGGCTGTGGAATGCAAATGGTGGTTGTGATGGCAGTGACTTTGTGATGGCATTGTCCATCCTGATGGGAACTTCAGTGACCCTCCTTTCCCTTTCCCCATGTTTCCATTCCTACACATAGCTTACTTCATGCTCTCCGGGGTAAATTTGTGCATGTCCTCTCAAAAATTTAAGTACAGTGATTTTATGTAGAGTTGTCAATTTTTAGCTATCACCATGAGGACTGCATTAGTTCGTGTTGTCCTTAAAACACCAAACAGAGAGGTTTTGTTTTATTAAACAGAGACTGGGTTTTTCTTAAAAAAAAAACAAAAGAGAGAAAGAGAATTACTACTTATAGATACAGAGAAAAACTGGAGGATTTGAACCCAGAGAAACTGAAGGTAGGAGGCAAATTGACCTGAGGATTAGAGCAGCAATATTCTAATTGGTTTTAGATGTTCTTGTGATGTTGTGACAGGTTTCATTTGTGATTTTTCACCACCTGGGACTGGCACTGTAAATCCTGAAGTGCTAAGGACTGGTTGTACAAGAACCCTTTAGTGCTTCCCTTCACCCTTGACTTGTTCCTGTCCAGATCTACTGAAGTCCTTCTGCTGGAACCTGTGCTACACCCTTACAGGTGGATGCTCTGCAGTGCACAGATGCTCTTTACGGCCTGGCACACACATCAAGGATTGGAACTGACCCAGAAGGTGGCCAGTGGAAAGATATGCATCTAAGGATATAGTGATGAAAGTCACTTTCATCAGGCCCATTCCCCTGAGCCCACTGCCCTCTCTTCAGCTCTCTCCAAGGACAAACGTCTCATCTTCTTTAAGCAAGCCACAGTTCCAGTAGAACATTTCTAATTTTCTTATCTGTTGCTGTCAGAGTTTGAAAATAAATAACTGGTGAATAAAAGCAGACAGAAGCAGGGGTTGGAGCAGAAGGGAATGTGCTTGAAACTCTCGTGTCCTAACGGGCAGGCTGCTAATTGTTGTGAGGGTTTCTAGACAGGCTGCAGAAGGAGATATGTTTATTTGGGACTGGTTTGGGTGTTTGGGTTGAGGTGTGTTTCCATGGTGCTTGTGGGAATGGAAGTACATGCCTTGACTGATTTCTCTAAAAGACTTATCTGGCCACTGGGCAGTCCTGGGATAACCCCAATGCCTGAAGGAACACAGAGAGCATGTTACATCTGGATCACAGCAGAGCATGGGGTAGAGCATGGGGTAGAGCACAGTCAGTCTCAGTCTCCTGCTTCCTGTAAATCAAGTACAACCCAACCACTATGGCACATCTTTGAAGCAAGTGCATAGACAACAACAATATAAAAGGGGCTACTAGGAACAAAAGGAGTTTGAGCCGAGCTGCAGAAAGGATTTAATTATTGAGGCTAATCTCAGGATCAGTTTAGATGAGCCATTACTGAATATCCTCATTAAAGTTCTAGGTGAAGTAGCAAACTGCAAGTTAATGAGAACTGCAGATGGCACTAAACTGGGTAGCATCCTGAGAGCTGTGGATGACAGAAGTAACACAGGAGATTTGGAAAGATTAGAACTGGGGATAGAAATTAGGAAAATGAGATTCTTATATGAAACGGAAATGTCTGGGAGAAAATATTGTGCCAAGTAGAGGAGAGGACCCTCAAATGCAGTAATGCAGTATGCAGGAAGAGAAACTTACAGATAATAATGATGGACCCTCAGCTAAGACAGTAGTTTGTGCCTGGCCAACATAAAAAACAAAGCAAATATGACCACAATTTGTCGAAATAGCATGCCTAATATGTGAGGACAGAGGATCATATTTCTGTATGATCTCTGCCACAGAAGAGGGACTTATATCTCTGTCATGAAGTATTTTATGTGGGAAGCTTGGGTTTTGTTTTTGTTTTTTTTTTTCTTTGTTCTTTGAGAAGCGGTGCTAGAACTGCTCTTCTGAGATTGGGGTGAGTGGGAATTCACATCCTCAGCAGAAGTGTGGGTCTGCAATCTGTTATAAACTGCACTCCTAATAGACCTGACCATCAGTAATGTTGTCAATGAGTAGCAAAAAATTTTTATATTCAGCAGAGGCTCATAAGGTTTATGAATTGCTGAAGGTTTTTTTCTGGAAAGGCAATTTCTAGTTTTCCAGGCAGACTTTGCCTTTCCCTACTTTGCCTCTGTGAAAGTCTGGAAAGATAGTTAGAAAAAGACCAGAGGTGAGAAGATCTGATGGCTGGACTCAGGGATGACTGGATCTATGCACTGAAAAGAAAGTGAGATGAAGATATTTTTTTTTCCCTTATGTGCCCTGCATTGTTTTGTAAACTAATAGCTTTGATTTTGTGTTTCAGAAGAGAAATGCCGCAGCTTTATTGAGCTTTCACCACCAGCAGAGAGAGGTAAGAGCAAATCCCCATATCTCACTGTAGCTGCCCAGTGTGTCTACTTGAAACAGGGGACCCACAACATTTTGCCTGTGTGAGGACAGCAGATTCCCAAAGAGCCAGGCATGAAATCCTGGCCTCATGGTTGCTAAAAGAGCAAAGATTTTGACCCAGATATCTGCGTAAACCATCGCCATTTGTGAAATCAGTGCTGGAAACCTCAGACCCCCTCCCATATGAAGTGGGATTTTTCTCATCTAGTAACTTTCCCAGTCAGAGCTTGTCATCTTGCTGTAGTCCGGGGGAAGAGGTGGATGCTACCTGAGCGCAGTCCCTCCCACATAGGCTGCGTGTTAACTCAGTGCTTCAGTTTGGGTGAAGTCTAGTGTGGTGAGTCTAGAAGCTGAATCATCTCTTACTTTGTGGTAAGTGAACAGGACACCTGAAAGTTACCCTTTTAGGGTAAAGTCCTTGCCTCATCAAATACAAAACGTCATTTGGGTAGGAGAGATCATCCCTCCTGTCACTGTCACATGTTTCGAATTATCCTGTGGATGACCTCAGTATACTTCAATGTATGTATACATATGCTATGGAGATTTCAATGAAAGCTTTTCAACTGGTGTGGGCTTGCTAACTATTCCCTGAGATGGAGGCTGAAGGCAAGTCATTTCAGAGGATGTATGTATGTGAAGGGAAAGGTCTGGGGTGCAGAGCCAGTGTCAGCGTTCAAGCCATGAGAGCAAGGGCTGGAACAAATGCTGAGGAATTGTAAGAATGTAGTATCATCATAATTTCACGTAGTATCATCTTAAGATGACCAGTGCAGCTGCCATTGTATAGCTGGGTCAGCACTGGAGAAGGTGGTGTGACTGCTGATTGTGGGCTGGGCTTGGCTGGCCAAGCTGAGTGTGTGCAGAGCAGCTCCACAAATCATAATCAACATTACAAGACCAAATTACAAAGCATCTGTGGAGAGCCTGGCCTCACAACGAAAGGCCAGATGCAGAGGTCTCTGTGCATGTGTGGTGCCTGAAACCTTCAGAATACTTTTGGCAGTCTGATCTCTAATGAACTATTCTCCCTGATGGTGCTGCAGCAAGCAAGCCAGCTCCTTTAAACAGGGAATGCAGCTCATCAATTTCTGCTAAAGAGCTGGGTGACTCTATGGCACTAATGATGTTGAGTATTCAAGTCAGTGCCACATTAATGAGGGTTTTCTTCACACTCCTTTTCCTCAGCTAAATGTCTCCTCTACAGCCATTAATAGTTGCTAACAGTAGTGTTCACAGTGCTGCTTCATTTGTCAGATTAATGTTTCTTCCTCAGTGAATCCTGTGCTTTTCCACAGCCCCACATTACAGAATGCCTGTTCTCATTCTCCTCCAAGTTCTACTGCACAGCTGTAGAACTGAGCTCAGCTGTGCACTGTGGTATCACTTAAATCCCACTCAAAATCCCAGCATGAAAGTACCTGCACTCTGTTCAAGAAGCAGGGTGAGTGGTGAATGTTACTGCCCTAGCTGGCTATCGACCCCAAAGAATGTGTTTCATTTTAATTGGGGATTTGGCTTGCAAGGGGTTTCCTGAATTCCAGAGGCCAGGTCCTGACAAAGCTGTGGATGCACCATATAGTTCTTAACTAGTTGAGTCCCAGGTTAAAAATTGTTTGCTTACATTGCTGTGATTAGAGCTCAGATGTGTTTGTGGCCAGTCTATGATCACTAGGTTTTATGCTAATACTCAACAGCTTCCCCTGTCTTTTCCCCCGTTTTCCTCCTTGCTGTTTATGAATAATGTTGACTTGTTCACAGATGGCATTTTAGTTCTTTTCAGCTTTGCCATGCTAGACTAGCCGAGCCATCTTTTGTGACAGACACTATTCCATTCAGCACTCTTTGAGTCCTCGCTCACAGGTTGGGGCAATTGCTTTTGGGTCTTTATTGTTTGTCTTTGTTCCCTTCTTCCCAAAGTACATCCTTTAAGGATTGAGCTGGGAAAGGGGGGTACTTTCTCTTGAACATGGTTTCATCCTGTATTCCTGGCAGGAATCCTGTGGCTGTCGCTGGGATCAGAGATGCTGTACATCAGCTTGCTGCTCATCAGCTTCATCCTCCTGACAGTGGAAATGCTGCATACTGGCAATCCTGTCTGTGGGATGAAGCTCAATGCCTTTGCTGCTGTCTCCTCGGTGCTGTCAGGTAAGCTTATTACTGTAGGCTTGGAATCACAGAAGCAGGAGAGCCTCCTCTTCCATGCAAGGCTGAAGTATGCTGCTCTGACTCCTGCTGTAACTTATTTGCTTTGCCTTTTGTGTCCAGGTCTCCTTGGGATGGTGGCCCACATGATGTACAGTCAAGTCTTCCAGGCAACTGTTAATCTGGGACCAGAGGACTGGAGACCGCACTCATGGGACTATGGCTGGGCGTTCTAGTACGTGAGCTCTGAAGCCATCTTGACCTCCCCAGCCTTCTGGGTTTCAGCCATGCCACCTGCTTCCTCCTCCTTTCTTGACCTTCTGTGTTTCCAAAGATATGGTTCTCCTACTACTAATCTCTTGTCTTTTCCTTATCCCTTGTTTTAATAAGCAGTTGCTGAGTTACTTAAATGAGTAGCTACCAAAGGACTGGCAAAACAATGGGGTCACACCTAAACAATTTCCTTCAACCCTACTGACTAATCAGGTTTGCCCCTCTGCTGGTTTGCCCTGTTTGGTCTCAGCTCTTCCCTGTGTGCAGAGGGCAGTGTCACACTTGTGATGATGCTCTCAAACATGCCTTGTTTTTCTGCAGTTTTAGTAAGTTGCATGCTGGTTTGGCATCTTCACTAAGCAATGTCCAAAGGGCCTATTCCTGCAACACCAAATCTAGACATATGCTTAAAGATGTGGACACAGCCCAGCCCACAACCAGCAGTCACACCATCTTCTCCAATGCTAGCCCAGCTGTACAATGGCAGCTGCACTGGAGGCCAAGGTCATCTTAAGATGATACTACATGCAGGAAGGAGCGAAAGGGGGTGATAGACCACGGTGTCACTTATGAGCCAGGAAGAGCAGCTGCAAAAAGCAGGTGGCTCAGGGTGCCTTTCTCTAAAGGATAAAGTAGCCAACAACAGCTGGTATGACATATCTGACTTGAAAAACAGTTGGATGACCCTTTCAAGTGTCCATAGAAAGTGTAGGTTCGATTTGCAATGCTGTACTGATGATGACCACACTGATTCTTAAGACTTAAACACTCCAGTGCCATGTACCACCCATGTACATCAAATGTCAGCATGGTGATCTGGTTACACTCAAGTAGACAAGCCTCATGTGCAGGAAGACACTGAGCAGCCCTGTAATACAGAACTTGCTTCTAAGCTGTGCTGTCCTGCTCTGACCAATTACAGATGTCCCTGCTGCCCTTTTCCTCTGCCCTGTATCCTTCCCTTCCCTGTGACAGGGATGACCAGTATTTAACCCACTGATCTAAGAAGGATCTTGTGGTGGGATAACCCCCAAGAACTGTAATTCTATGAGTCTTAGTCATTCTAGTTCATGTCCATGCCCAGCAGCTTCTGCCTTGAAGATCAGGGTGTGTCACAGTGTTCAATTCCTTACCCTACCTGGCTTCTCACAGCATGTGCTTCTTTTGTGTCTCTCTGGTAGCATGGCCTGGGCCTCCTTTACCTGCTGCATGGCCTCTGCTGTCACCACTCTCAACACCTACACCAAGACGATACTGGAGTTCAAAAGGAACCACATCAAGGGCTACGATGGGAGCTTCAAGGATCAGCCTCAGCACCACCAGTGCTTCCTACAGCAAATAAGCAGCTACTATGAGCCCAGAGGCAAGGCCTTCCTTTCAGTCTCTGAGGGAGTCGACTTCTACACTGATCTGCAGCAGAAAATGCTACAGCGGGAACCAGAGCTGGAGCTGGATGAAGTCTTGGGCCAGACAATTGGGGAGGATCGTTGTTAGGGATGATGAGTGTATAGGGACAGAGCAGTGGGGTTTGGGAGGCACAAGAGCTCTGCAACAAACACTGGCATCGCTGTTAGCAAGCTCTTGGGGGACTCTTCCTTCCTCTAAGTTCAGGGATTGAGAAGAGAAGATGGGCACTGGGTTAGGGCAACCTACAGTGCTAGCAGTAGCAGGCTGAGGGTCCTCCCTGATCACAGTTTTATGGGTGTCCTCTGCTGAGAAGGGTGAAACTGGAGGGACATTTTGGTGCCAGCTGTCTCAAGTACTTTCAGGCAGAGTTGAGGCAAATATCCTAACCCCAGTACTGCACTTGGGAATAGACAGTCAGCACCATCCAGATGGCAAATTGCACTCTTTGAGTGGGTCACACTGACCTCAGTTCAGTGCTATGGTGAAAGGCATCAGTGTTCATACTGATCAGTTGCCATCCTCTCTGAACACCCTATTTATTCTTAATTTCCAGGCCCAGACTCCTCTTCTCCCTGACCCTAGATTAAAAGTCCCGCTGCAGTAGGAATGGAGGGTAGCTTTCAGAAATCTCTCTCCTCCACTTTCCTCTCTGTAATGACTCCCACATGCTCCCCTCTTGCTTTTCCCCCAGAAATCTCTCATTCTGAGGTACTTTACTGTCTGCCTCTTTTTACTGTTTCTCCACAACCTTTAAGAATCTTTGGCTGTACTTTTGCTTTTTTCTTTGTTTCTATTCATCTGTTCCTTCTTCCCTATCATAAAAATATTGCAAGCAACCCCCAAAACAAACCCCAAAGTAAACTCATTATCTCTCAAAGGTGAAACATTGGTTCACATGATACATGATGCTGTATACAGTATTTATTTGCTCCACTGCAGTTCACAGTTCAAATACATTTTCCCAACAATATACAGACAGACTCTTTATTCACGGGGGGGAGGGAGAATGCGGGCAGGTGAATTCACATTAAGGAGGAGCTAATGCCACTGCATTGGAAAAACAGTTCTCTCAGGAAGAACCTCAGAAGAATAACTACTTAGGTAACAGCCGCTTCACCTTTCCCAGCAAGGTGGTGGCTGGAGAGGAGGGAAGAGGCACTCCTGTTTAATCCCTCTTATGTTACTGGTCCTCACACTTTCAGTCCTATTATGCAGCTGTATTAACTGACTGTGTATTATAAACACTAAACCCTGTCTGAAGGAAAATGCCAGGCCTAGAGCAGTTGCTACAATTGTGCTAAATATATACAAAGCTATTTACACAAAAATACCATGAAACATATACAAACTGTTCACAGGCTCTGACATTAAGAGAGCAGGGCCCAAGGACCAGCCTTGGGGCTTGCAGCTAATCTTGAAGGGCTATCCTGGAAGCTTTATATGGAGATGCAGGGATGATAGAGAGGGTGATACAGCAAGGAGAAGTCTCAAGAGCCCAGGAGAGCAAATCAATGGTAGATGTGCCCATCTGGAAGGAGGGTCAGTTTGCCATAACCTCACCACTCACAGGGAAGTGCAGGGAGGCTAGAAGGGCACATGCCAACAGGAGGACAGAAGAATCTTTGCAATCTTCATCTCAGCCTAGCTCTGCCTAATGTCAAAGGTCACACCTGGAAAGGCATACTGGGAAAACAGTCCCTACATTGTTGCCCTGAACTGTGGGGAACTGTTGGGGCACCAAAGTGGTTCCTGTTTATACAGTCATTTCTATCACAAGAAAATTTGTACAGATGCTCTGTAACTCTGTAATGCAACACAGGAGACTGATAACACATTCTGGGGCACAGTTCAAAACACTAAACATACTGTGAGCAAATGTCTCCCAGGGGTAGTCTGTTCCTCCTGGAGCTGCACACAGGGCTGGGCTGGCAAGGGAATGGCAATACTGAGCTCAAAATAGGGTTAAAATGCACAGAAAATCTTTCTAGTTCTGTCTCTGTCTGAGCCTGTAAACCCTGAAGCAGTGGCGTAAGAATCAGCTTTTCTGTGACTAGATTGAGTGACCTTTACAGTGACAGTTGGGATCTGCTGGGAATCTATCCCAAAAGGGCTGTGTTATATTTGCAAAGGGAAACTCAGCCCACTGGACTGCAGTGTGATATTACAGTGATACTTGGGGTTCATACAAAGCTCAGGGATGGACAGAAATAAGATGTCAATCTTGCACTTCTACATCACCCACATGCACCTGTCCTGAACTTGGAATTGGGACAGAAATACACAAGTGCAAGGGCTGGCAAATGCTGTGGAGACCATCTTTCTCTAGATCAGGTAACTCAGCTAGAGAGCTAGTCTGTAGGTGAGTTTGGGGACAGCATGAAGAAGAGGGCTGAGAGCACAGGAGAGGCTGTAGACAAGACTAACCCTGCAGGAGCCAGACAGAGGCTTCACTCTAAAAATACAAATATTAAAGCAGGTAGTGTGCTTTAGACACATCATTTGCCTTGACTCATCGTGGCCCTCTTTAGGCCTACAGCTTGTTTGACTGCCTGGGAATACTGTTTGGACATAAAAAGGTGTGTCCTAAATCTCATTCATAAATTAAACATACAAAAAATATACATATATGGTATAAATTAACACATATATATATAAAGTCTGGTTTTATATATATATGTATACAAATTCTAAATTCACATTTCTGTGCTACCTGGAAGGAAGCATGCAAGAACAGCATATGGAGGGGGAGTAGCTGAACAAGGTTCCTCTGGTACATGACAGGTCTGCCTAGGACAAACCTGCCTCCACCAGCATTCCCCAGATAGCTGAAGAAAGGGAAAGTGCTTTTAGCCCCCATTCCCTCTACACAGCAATTTTCCTGAAGATCCACAGAGCAGCTTCCTGTATTCCCCATACAGGCCACAGGTCCAACCAAAATCGGAGGAACCACCAGGCTAGAGCTGGAGAAGGAAAGGCAAACAAACATTAAAGCCAAAACCTATTACTATCTCTTTGCATCCCACCAGTCTCTTTGCATTCCAAAGAGCACCTTAACTGTGTCTGTTCTCAGGGAAGAGATCAGATGTTTTCAAGGGCCTGGATTTCATTGTGCAGGGATTCCTGCACAATCTCACCTTCTGAGGAAAGTCAACAAATTTCATCCGGGCAAGGAATCGCCTCACTTCTCCACGGCTGATTTTCGGAGTGGTGGTGTCTTTTAACCACACCATTCGACCTTGACTCATCATGGCCCACTTCAGGCCCAGCTTGCTGACTGAGAGAAATCCTGGCTGTTTCTCAGAGGTTGCAGTTGTTGTCACAGTGATGTGAAATGCATCCTTCTGGAGATCGTTAATTCCAACTAGTCCATCAGAAAAGGGCGAGAAAATAGTGGTGAGAAGTAAATTATTACATTTCTTCCAAAAGAAATCTTACAGCCTTTAGTCAGTAAAAATGTCCATTGGACTGAAGTATGTTCAGTCTGACTTTACAATTCCACGTACCATAGTTGATAAGGGAAAATAATTTTAAGTTATTTTTTTTCCCATGGAAAGAAACTGAAATTTGGATCAGAAATGGAAGGGACTGGCTCCAGGTTATGGTTTTGAGCTTGACATAGGAGATGCACATATTTCAAGAATGCAATTCACTCTCAGAGCTTTTTTTCCCACACCTGTTAGAAGCTATTGTTTTCCTCTATAGAAGGGGAAATCTGTAAAGCACGGGCAAGTCAGTTCACTCCATTCACTGTAGAATGATCTGTACAGACCTCAGAAATCCCAGTTTCTAAAAAATTCCTCTAAAAATTATATTCTATTTGTTCTTGGGGGCCCCTGGTGGTCTAGTGGTTAGGGTGCTGGACTCTCACCGCTGCGACCCGGGTTCGATTCCCAGCCCCCCGGGCAGATGGAGCTCGTCAGCCCTGTGAGGCAATCCATCTAAGAGAAGGTCACTCTAAACAAACCTACGTCCTGAGACCCTCACTGCCACTGTCCAAGCTTGCTCGGCCCCGGCAGATGAACCTCAGGATTAAAGGGTGGGCTCAGTTCAGCGCACACTGTGTCTCACCTAAAAAATCCACTGCGCAGGCTCGAAGGGTTAATGACCTTTCCCAAATCTTTGCTCACGAAGACTGGCCATATATATATTTGTTCTTGACTGAACTGTGTTTTTGATACAAACCCGATTACATGTTATCACTATGTGGCAGCTTTTCCATGCTTCCTGGACTACTGGTCCCAGTGTTGGACAAACTCTTCTTTTATCCCACACTGCCCTGCACAAGAGGCTGGCTATTGGTCAAACTGCTTTAGAAAGAGCAAGGCAATCCAACAGGGACTGTACAGTCCTGTATAGATGTTAAATCCATATCTACTTTTCCCTAAAAACACAAGTTTAAATATTCTGAATTCTCCCTTACAAAAAGGAAGATGAAGAAGCAGCACGGCTGATATCCCAAAGAGATGGCAAACAAAGTGTATCTGAGATGACAAAGTTTCATAGTGGTTTTTCATGCACTGCATTAAATCATAAACAGCTCCATGGAAATCAAGGCAACTTCTCTGGTGTAAAACATGCATGAAATCAAACTTGGACCTTTTCTTGCTTGAACACGTGCAAGAAACTTTGTGGGTCTTTTATTTCCAAAGTAGGGTTTTATTTCCAAAGTAGTTCCTCTCATCTTCGGGAGGAAGATGGATCTTATTTCCCATTGTTGGCCTATGTGTTGTGGACATCGGGTGCTACCTTTAGAGGGACAACTACATCCCACTGTTTCTCACAGCTACTTCTCTCTCCATAGTTCTTTTAGCCTAGGTAGTTTCTCCTCCATTTGTACCCACCTGCTGAAGCAATGACTTTGTCTGTTGCATTGGTGAGGTCCAAAAGGACTGTAGGAAAAACAGGATGGAGGAGATAGAGGTGGTGCAGCCCTGGGCGCTCAGGTCTGGGACCAGGTTGCTGTTAAATCGAAAGACAGACAAAAACATAACAACTGGCTAGCAAAGAGGACTCTAGCACTGCCAAAAAAATAAAGTTTTCTGACACTGTGCTGTCTTTCATGGATCAGAGAATCAAAAACTCTTGGTAAGACTGAAATCTGGCTCTGTCATATCCAGCTTGATGGGCAGAGCTACAGTTTGGAAGTTTGAGTCTCCATGCTGAATTCTGTGCCTGCATGCAGAAAAGTGCTCTGGAACTGGGAACAAATCTGCAGCTAGAACACCTCAGTGTTGCATAAAAGAATGAAATTCATACAGAAATTTTTGGTTTTGTGGATGTAAAATTTCTGTTCATAAAGCTCTATGAAGAATTTGCGCACAAAAACTCCTGTGTTTAGGCTCACGTCAAAGTAAGAGATGTCCCTGACAGCCTTCTTATACGTTAGATTTAAAATTCAGTGATAACAGGAATAAAAGACAGAGACTGCATGCACTTCAAAGAGAAACTTCAAAGTGAGGAAAGGATGCTTGCTCACCAAACTTTGTAACACAGGCTGTGTTTCATCAGCCCAGAAGAGAAAAACAGACTTCTTGTCCAAAGTCATGACTGAGAGTGCATCAAGTTGTTGCCTCTGCCACGGGAGTTCCTGGTTCCAAAGAGGGAGGCCGGATTTGCCATCTACCACCACCACCTCAAGGCAGGGAAGAGATCAAGCATTAGTGGGGTATCCAGGTGTGGATATATAGAGTGTGCCCTTGCAGTGGCATGGCCTGTGCTGTTCCCTTTCATGCCTGTGGCCACACAGTGATGACCGTCAGCCACAGAAATGGGAACAGCGAGGAGCAAAGA